AAATTTATAATTGGCGCGACTATAATACAGTAGCGACACTATTTGCAGCTATTCACCTTTGATACATTTTGTACTGTATACGAGGTGGTACACAAACATCAAAATATATGATTTTTCTCTTTCTGTCATTTGTAGTTTTCCCTCATTAAAATAGCACCCTGTACTTCTACGTATAGACAATCCTGCATTTAAATCATTCTACGTGAGCCCTGTACTTGTATCCGTCCGTCCGATATAGATATATGAAATATAAGCACATCATCCAGCCGTCTCGTACACTCACCGAAAAATTGTATATACACGGATGTACATCCATTGCCCGACATGCGCGTATATATACAAATGAAAATACCAATTAGATTTTCAGCTTCATGCGGATGAATATGGTGTAATTTCTAATTTTGCTGTTTTGCAAGTTTTCAATAAAACACAAAACGAACGGAAAGGTATTTACTTAAAGCTTTCGCAATGCCACGAAATTTTTCTCTACTGGTCATTGGTTTACATTCCCTGAAGCTATTCAATTCTTGTTTCTGAATTTGAATTAAATTGCATTGAATTTGAATTCAATCTAATGAATATTGCATTTTCCCCTACATTTTCATTTTATAGTTCGATTTTCTCTGCCAAATCTAAGTACCCTCCACATCCACACAATAAAAACTACTCGCTTCTTCGGCTATTCGTTCGGAAATTTTTTCGTCGCCTGTTAGTTACTTTATTCTACTTGGTTTTTCTATATGCAAGAAAATCCAAATTTTTCATTTCAAAATTTTTCTACTTTCTGCCAATTTATTTCTTTTTTTTTGTTGATATTTTCTTTTAATTACAGTTTACACACCGTCAACTGCACCTTTGCATTTTAATTACGCTACAATAACGACGTTTGAAGCGCTATTAGCGAGTTCCACATTGAGTTTTTCCAACCTCGAAATTACGTGTTCCGACCACGTATTTCTACATAATATTTGTCATTTTGTAAAGCGCGCACTAAGCACTTATTTTTTCACAATTTTTTAATTATTTTACCACAATTTTCCCACCTGGAAAATGTGTACAAGTTTTTCACGTCTGCTCGCTGCTGAACTTCACATAGAGAATTCAATAAATGGCGGCCACGGCGTTGAGCCGCATCGTTTGCTGCTACCAAATTTATCTACAATACTACGCAGTATTCCTTCACGCTTTGCACAAAGTAAACTTGTTTGCTCACTCACTCTAGTTTGAAATGAAGGCAACACGTTTTAGAGATCAGATTTAGTCGTTTCATTTATCGAAAATACGTCAAGCCTTGTAGATAGTTCTTTCTTTTACGCACAGCACAGCATAGAAGAGTTCGAGTATGGCGGGTAGCCAAAAAAAATTCATTCTTACGACTTCTGCGTGAGCAAGAATGAGTAAGTTAGATAGTTGAACTAAAAGCAGCGCGAGTACTAACACGCATTGAGAAATTGTGCAATAGTTTTAGAACACGCCNAGTAAGTTAGATAGTTGAACTAAAAGCAGCGCGAGTACTAACACGCATTGGGAAATTGTGCAATAGTTTTAGAACACGCCAGTTTTTGTAATATTTCATATTGACGCTATTTTTATAAATATATGTCATTATATGTGCAATATGTGCTCGCTTTAACGCAATTTTCACAACTTGTATTTAATCGGTCAGTCAATGCCATGATTTAAAGAGTTAAAAGCACAATAATATTGCACAATCGAGTTTAGCCCAATAACGGATTTGGTATAGCGGTTCCATCGGCNTACTTTGCGTACTTTTCTACTACCATTTTCGAAACAAGGGATTGCATTCTTGCCCTTTCTCTGTCCTTCGTAAATGCAACCTTTTGTAAGGGAGTGTCAAAGCGCAGCTGTCAATAATTATCTAACCTTGTATTATTGAATCATGAGTTTTTGTAATATTTCATATTGACGCTATTTTTATAAATATATGTCATTATATGTGCAATATGTGCTCGCTTTAACGCAATTTTCACAACTTGTATTTAATCGGTCAGTCAATGCCATGATTTAAAGAGTTAAAAGCACAATAATATTGCACAATCGAGTTTAGCCCAATAACGGATTTGGTATAGCGGTTCCATCGGCAAAGACAGCCATTCGAAAACACATGTTGGATGCTGCCATACCTAAAAGTACGAGCAAATTTTTGCGAATATTAAAACGCGTACAAATCGGAAATCATTAGAGCGTTCTAACAAAGTTAAACTATATTAAGATTCGTTTTTCAAAAATAGATAAATGGAAGAAACGTTTAAGTTACCACATAATTAAAAAAGTTCTTCGCGCAAATAATGTAAACGGGAACTGTGGCAACTATGTTTTTGTGTTTGTGTTTTCATTTGCCAACAATTTGCAATATTTTAGGACGCCTATTTTTATTGATCATCACATTAGTTACATTTTGTAGTTTCTCAACATAATTCTGCAAATCGTTATAATGGCAAATAATCCAGCTGTAATTAAGCCTTCACCTGTCCGTACAGATGTAACAGTCGTTAATTAAATTAGAATGCTAACCTTATAACTTACATTCCCATAGATCGGCCCGTCCGACAAAACTCTGGAACGGCAATCATCGCCATCCTCAGAAGTGGATATCATAAAACGCAAATTCAGCGAAATAAATCTTGACGCTTCCAATAAAAATTTCGCCAGCAGTTGTTTAGATGAGACACTCAGTATCTATAACTTACTGGCAAGTGTAGGTTTAGAAAAGTATATGGACTTGTTTGCTGCACGAGGATTCGAATTAGAGCAATTTTTGGATTTATCTTATTTAGATTTGCAGTTATTAGGCATAGAAGATAGCAGACATCGCAACCACATCATGGAATTGATAAACGCGTTTCGATTTGATTAATCACCATATTGGAAATACATCTGTATATACATATTTAAGTTAGGTATGTTAATTCCGGGATCCCAGACTTTTTAAGTCCCGAAAATCCCGGTATTATTTGCCAAGAATCCCGGGATTTGTAATTTGCAATGGTGGCAATAATACAATGCCTTATGTTGGCCAGTTTTTCCTATATTTTTTTGTTTATCTAATATTTAATATTTTTATATATGTGGCTAATTATACAGGCAACTTTACGCACAAAAAGATAGGCCTAATATATGCAGTAAAATTGCATTCTTAGCTTTTTTCGTGACCATTAGATCCATTAAATTACAGGAGGATAAAGTTGCAAGTTGCAAGTGAGTAAAAGTAACGTTGATTTTTTATAATATTTTTGCTGGCGGTGTCACATTTTCTGCCAACTCATGTTCGACAATTTTTTATATGGAAGAAAATGCCCAGCATCGTTTAAAAAATTCCCAAAAATTAACGGTATTTTGTTACTGCATGAAACTTGCATAAAAATCCGTTCCTTCTAAAAATGTTGAGTAAAAAGTTTTAATTTTTTTGCATTTCTATAATTTTTGTACAAGTTTTAAAATTCGCATTTAAATGCAGTTAATTGTATATAAAATGAGGTAGACTTAAAAAAAAAATTAAATATTAAAAAAAGAAAAGAAATATAAATTAAACTGGTTGAAATAAGGCGTTTCTTTTATTTATTTCTTTTATTTTATTTATTATAAACTTCTTTCAGCCACACAATACAACTCAAAATTTGGCATTTTTCAAGTGCGGTTTAGAAATAAAAGAGACTTTGTATTTGGCGTTTTGGAAAATTTCGATCCGATCTGTACATCAGTCGGAGTATAATGTAAAATTTAATTGGAGACTATAATTAAGATAAAATACCATCAAGATGATATCATAATTTGATAATGAATAGTATAATAAAATTTTAAGAGCTCACAACTCGTTTTACGAACTATGTTCTAATTTGAAACTGGTTTGTAAAACAAGTTTAATATTGTACCATCTTTCGTTTTTATATATATCGTCGTTTAAAGTACAAAACCGCTTATCGTGATTCTGCAAAACCGCGTAACTGGCATTTTGCAAAACCGCGTATGTGTAGTTATAGAAATTATTTTCTAGAGCGTAAAAACACTCATATTTCAAAATGGTTCTCTTTTTTATAAAGCAATCGCATATCTGCCTAGTATACAGTTATGCAAAACCACGTAACTGACATTGGCTGCCAAAAATTGGATTTGCTCACACAAACACTTGGCTTAATCCTTATCCATTCGTCCTGCGATTGCTTTATAAAAAGGAGAACCATTTTGAAATATGCATGTTTTTACTCTCTAGAAAATAATTTATGCAACCTCACACGATATGTATGTATACTGCGTACCTAAGTATAATGAAAAGCAAAGTAGCTAATACTTAAATATCAGTTCTTCATCACGTTATAATTTAGCGTTATTATTAATGCTGTTATAAATTTATAGCCAAGGCGAATAAGTCCCACGATTTAAAATAACAGCTAGTTTTTATCGTTTTTATATTTTTGGAAACATTTAAATTGCATATTTTAAGAGTTAAGAACTTCAGTACACATCGTCGCCTGGGTAAAAGATTGTCGTATGCTAATTTCGGCAGGTTGTGGGAAATCGCGATTGAAGTTTGGAATGCAATTTCTTAAAAACGCGATGATATATTTTCTCCAAAGTTCCTGAAAATGTTACTGAATCACAAAATTTTTAAATTATTTAATTTTAAATGTTTATTGTTAATTAGTTTTGAGTTTATGAAGGATTTTCTTTTGTAAAATTTTGTCGTAAACGTCATTTGTCCACAATTTGGCAGCCACTTTGTATGAAATACGACAAAATGCGATCAAAATTTCTACTAAATCAACGACACTTTGTACTCAATATCTTGGAAGCTATAGGAGATATCCAAAAATAGAGAACATAACTTTTAAGATATTCATTAGCTTAATATGACGGCATCATTAACTAAATTTTTACTAAATTATCGAAAAAATTGTAGTCGATATCTGGGAAACTAAAAGAGATATCTTAAAACTGATAACACCAATCGAAAGACCTTATTTCATAATATATAACTGCATCTAGAACTAAAAATCGTCAAAATAGCGCTTACGACAATCTTTTACCCAGGCGACGACGTACATCCCTGTTCTGCAATCCGTGTCGGAATCGCATCGGAATCGGAATTCAATTCCGATACGGAATTGAAATGGTGTTCCAGTTAGAATCGAATCCGATTGTAAAAAAAAGGAACAAACCTCCTACTTGTCAATTGCCTTCTGAAGTGTCATACACGCGTACTTTTCCATTGGAACAATTTTGACAACTAATGCGCAATGTAAACGCGCCGTTACTCGGAAAAATGATCCCGTACTCCAAATTCCTCCAAAATCCTGTAAATGAGAGCGATTTTCGGAGAGTTGTATAGAGAATGAAGTTACAAGATATTATCCGAACTTTTTCTTCTGGTAAAATCATGAAAAGTGTCAAGCGATCACTGGCTTACGTTGTTACAGGGAAAATGCTTTTTTTTGTTCCCGTACTTCTTGTTGTTACTCACTTTTTACGCTCACTTCAGAGAGTAATTTTGTTGTTTGACATTTTTACATGATTTTACGCGAAAGGTATTGGATCAGAGATAGGTGGTCCCATACTAATTTGGTTTAAATCCGATCATTGGATCGTGAAGAAATTAATCTTAAAGTTTTATATGAGAGTTAAAGTCGGTTTTGTTTTTTTGCTTAAAAATTACTTGTTTGGCAATAAAATTTTTCGGTTACAAAATATTCGGTAGCGTGCAGGTTAGACCTGTTACCATGAACGAAAGACACAAGATCACGCCTTCCCGAAAGAAAGAAAAAAGTTATTTTGTAGCTGTTGAAATCTCGACGCCATCTTTGTTGGAAGAAGTAAACATACGAAGAGAACAAAAAAAAAAACCGTGTAATTGTTGAACGCATGAATAATCATTTTTATTATGCAAATTCTTTTATAAATCATGTCGTTGTGTTAAATTATTCTTTACCTTATGTGTACACACGTAGTCACAAGCGAAAATTAAGAAAATTGCAGTAAAAAACCACCACCAAATTGTAAACAACGAACTAATGTAAACAAACGGCTAATGTCAAAGTCGCCCAACTTTTTTCCTAAATGCGATTATAACGGGCTACTAAGAAGAGGGCGTGATCTTGTATTTTTGGTTCATGACCTGTTACACAGTCTTTGGTTCACCAGTATCGTTACCGAAATACTTGTATTTCTCCACAAGAACTTCCAGCTGTTTTAACACATTCGCCAGCCAATGCAAATTTATATCTCTGATCCAATACCTTTCGTGTAAAATCATGTAAAAATGTAAACAGCAGAAATTACTCTCTGAAGTGAGAGTAAAAATTGAGTAACAACAAAAAGTACGGGAACAAGAAAAAGTGAGAGTGAGCCAGAGAGTGTAAAAACAATCGCAACAAAAAGTAAAATAAACGTTTTAAAACGCACGTGCAACTGTTAAAAGTACAAATTGGTATCCACGGAGAAAACTCACAAAACATTCCGAAAATGTGCGAAGAACCATTCAATAAATATCATTTATGCAATTTCAACGAGCTTGTCGTAGAACAAGGTAGGTTCCTTCAATAAGTAGATAAATTAAATAAATTTTTTTTGGGAAATCATTCACATATGTACATGCATACGTTTGTACATATTTTTATTACCGACAGATTTGCCCACTGAATCACTACATCAGCTATGGTCTTGCAAATGGACAACAACGCGTTTACAAGCTATTTTAGATAATTGGTTTCAATATAAAAATGCGGAACCAAGCTTAGAGACTGCTGATACCTTACTCTGTCAGGTCGTAGAGTTGACTTTGGTGTTTGTACAAAACAATTTCACCGGACCATTTAAGCAATTAGAAGAATTTACGGTCTTTTTGCAAGCAAAGCAACTAAAAGAGTATGATCCCTTTATATGCTTAATGGAAAATGGCGAAGAGATAAATCCAAATGTAAAGCTTGGCGAATTATTAGTACTGGCGAAAGAAATTCTAAATTTTTTACGCCAAAGATGGCCAGAATCTTTGGTATGCATTATTTTGAGAATCAACATTAATTTATTAAAGCTATTTTAAACTTTGCTTTATTTTTATTTTACTTTTAGTATCTTCAATGGTGGTATATGCGTATCGTTCACATACAGCAGCAGGTAATTGACGAGCTTACTAACAATTTATATGAGGAGCTCAAAGTCGTTGCTGAGTTTTTGCTAAAAAATGTTGATAAAGCGCCCGAAAAAGAACTGCAAGCGTTGCTCTACTTGGAGGTGGCAAATGGTTATTTGCTATTTCATCGTTCACAAAAGTGCGATGAAACACTTGAGGAATTATGTCAGCGTTTGGGTATAGTTTTAAATATAGAAGGTATTTATTTGTATTTAAACCGTTTACTTCGTTTATTAAATAAAACAACATTAATTCTTATAAAAACAGGTTTACTTGGCTTACGCACAAAATTCCAGCAAAAGCCGCTTCCGCAACTTTGTTTGAAAGTGCAGCATTGTAACACGGAATTGCCTTCGGCGCAGGACACTAATAGCAAGACGAATCTACCCAAGTTACTGTTATTGGACGATGATACGCGACTTGAGCGTATACGCTTTATTGAACCCAAAGACAACGAGGTCATGACACTGCCAAGCGTTTTGCAGGCCCTAGTATTGGCAAGAGTGTAAGTATAGCACACCTAATGTTATACTTTGTACATATGCACATACTGTTCATTACAGCAAGCAACTTAAACGCTCGCAGCCAAAAGATCGACTAGCCGATGAAGAACTGGAGCCTTACATAAAAACGCTACTTTACCAGGAGCATGGTCCTCTACAAGTTCGTCAATCTGCCCTGCTGCTTAACTGTGTACAAGAGTCGAATCAACGACGCACTGTGGAGCGCAGTTGGAAGCAGTGCGAAGGCGCTGTAAAGCTTCTTGATAGTCATATATATACATTACCAGAACGCCTTTCATACGCATTCGCAGGTTTCCTGCAACCCAAGTGGCAAGTGCAAAGACAGCTATGCGAATTATTACTCTCGCTGGGTATGACAAAAACGGCACTAGACATATACCTACAAATACAAGCGTGGGCAGAGGTTATTCAATGTTATACAAAACTTGACTTGCGTCACAAAGCCGCAGAGATTATACAACAGGAATTGGCGAAGAAGCCTACAGTACTGCTGCATTGCTTGCTAGGTGATGCTATAGACGATCCAAATTGTTATGCTACTGCCTGGGAGTTCTCGAAACATACGAGCGGCAGGGCGCAAGCCCATTGGGGTTCTTATTATTTCCGTAAGGCTGAATATGCTGAGGCCATACCGCATTTAGAAAAATCTGTAGAGATCAATTCTTTACAAGAGAAGATATGGCTACGTTTGGGCTACGCAGCTATAAAACTAGAGCGGTGGGAGCTGGCCGTGCATGCCTATATAACCTACACACATATAGAGTCATTGGGTTTTGAGTCGTGGAATAACTTGGCAAAGGCACTGGTGAAGTTGGGAGATAAAAAGCGGGCACATAAGGTGCTAAGCGAATCATTGAAATGCAATTACAACAACTGGAAGGTATGGGAATAGCGTACGCGTTAAAGACGTATTAAAAGTTTAATTTTTCTCTAGGTCTGGGAAAATTTTATGATTGTCTCGGTTGATACGTGCAATTTGGAGGATGCCATGAATGCCTACAGTCGTCTCAGCGAGCTGAAAGATCGCTACCTTGACTTGGAAGTACTTTGTGTTACTATAGGCGCTATTTTAGAGGGTAAAGCTGACGCCAAGGGGCAGACTCAGGAACGTTTACGCAAGAAAGCTATAACGTTGTTGGCGCAACAATGTGTTAAACATGGAAATGAGCCGAAAGTATGGGAGTTAGCGGCACTGCTTGCTGTCACGCCGCTGAATACGGCACAAAAGTTGGTGAAATCAGTCAATGCGTATACCACAAAAGAGCTGGAATGGGCAACGAAGCAGCTATATGCGCTCAAAGTGATACAAATATGTCAGCAAGCATGTGAACTATCTTTGGAGGCAACCAATGAGCATACCCTGGAAGAAACTGAAGTAATGATAACCTCACAGTTAAATTCTGCTCGTCTTGCAGCACAGGCAGTGATACGCGCAACAGCGAAAGTTAATGAGAAGTGGCCCGAAAATGAAGCAGCCTTAGCTGAATTGAGGGAGAAAGTTGATTCGCTGACATTGAAGGTTAAAGAGCGTATGCATGTTAGTTGATATTTTTATATTAATTAGGGTAGCCAAAATTATTTTAAATAAAAAGTTTATTGCAAGTGACCACTACAAATATTTAAAATAAATTCAATTTGGTGGTTACCAAAACACGCACACACTGATCAAACGACCCGCACACAGCTAAGCCCAANTAAAGTTTATTGCAAGTGACCAATACAAATATTTAAAATAAATTCAATTTGGTGGTAACCAAAACACGCACACACTGATCAAACGACCCGCACACAGCTAAGCCCAACTTGTCTGGATGCCAGTCAAAGCTGTGCACTGGTTGCGAGGATACTGTTGAGGCGTGCAGCATATGCAGGGTGCCAGGAACTCCCATCTCAATGCTATCCCCATCGGCTTTGCGTCGCTTTTCCGGATACTCATATTGCCATAAACGTATCGAGCCAGTTCCACCACAAGAAACAAATACGTCACGATTCTGTGGTAAGTGACGTATAGCCCATACTGTCGATTTTGGACCAGTAATCACCCCATTGGAGCCCACGCTACGTCCAGCATTACGCTCTTCGACACAACTGAATCCTTTTGTTGGATGCTGGGTGCGCATATCATACACAAGTAGACCACCCTCCAGTGTGGTCACACCCATTTTATTAATTGGTATGTCGGCACGATCAAACTCGATGCCACATATACCATTTTTAAGCGTCGTTTCCCAACGCACAGCCAACTGCCGCAAGTCGAATAGCTTTAGGTCGCCATTGTCGTAGCCAGCTGCCACACATCTTTCATTATTATTGAAGCTATCGCCAAAAGCAACTGCCCAGCAGTCACGACGCTCACTACGATTAATGCCATCGCCTTTCACCGATTCTGGACTGATGTCGACAACCGGTGCTGAGCCCTGACGTATGTCCCACACTTTGACGGCGCCATCACGACTTCCGGTGACGATTTCCGGTGCGCCACAATCCACTTGTTTACCTCCAACTGCATCGATGGCATTTATAATGCTTTTATGCGCTTCTACGTTGTAGACTGGTAAATCAGGACGTTCTAAATCACTGAAAATATACGTTTGAGTATGTTTTTTCTATAAAAGACCCGCAATACTCACAGTACTTGCATGCGCCCTTCAAAGTCGCCTATAGCCATGTGCCGGTTTCGCAAGCTGGATGCGCCAAAAGTGCCACATTTAAATGCCGTCTTCTTAACGACCTCCTTGATTTTATCGGCTCTTGATTCATTGAGCTCATAAATTTGTAAAATACCATTGCTATTCGGTTTGGAGCCGAGTACTACAAATTTGGCAGAACATGGTATCCATTTCACATCGTATATGGTATAGTCGACATTCTGTTGGATGTGCTCAATCATCTGAGGCTTATCCATTTTGCTTGGAGGGGAATATATTTAGCGAAGTTTAGTTAAAGTTGTTTGTTCTATAAAAATCGTGCTAAATATTCATATAAATACGGTTTCTATGGTTATGAATGACGTTTAGTTTATTTACGAATGTGA